TGGGTGGGCGCAGTCCTCTTGCCTGGGATGTCGGCAATCTCAGAAACCTCTGGGAATTTGCTGTTCGTGCAGCAAACAACCTAGTCAGAAAAACTAGTGTCGGAGCCAGCCCTGGCTGGAAAAATGAAGTTAAATGAAACTCTCCCTGCAGCATTCGGCTGAAATCTTGCTGTCCCTTGCTGAGGTCACCTGGCTGATGCCATCGTTGAAAGATAAGAGCATATGAAGAATGGGGCTTTCAGGGGATAAATGTGAGTAAATACTTCTCTGACACGTATGGACGGTCATGAATTATTGATTTTCACCCCCCATCCCCCGTAATCTGTTTCCTCCTTCCGTGGCCAGGGAGGGAGACAGAAGCGTGGACCCTCTCTGTGTGTGACCCTCCTCCCCATGTCTCCTACCCACCCTCCTTTGGCGGAAGAACCAGAAGCCTGGAAGGAACTCCCCGCCAGCAGGAGGTGGCCAACTCTGGCTTCCTGGGGCTTTGAAAAAGGCCAGGCTGCGGGGGCGGTGGTGGGGAGTGGTGACATTGTACTCAGAACCAGAGACCTGCTTTGAGATCCCAGGTCTGCCAGGAACTAGCTGGTTTTACCGACAAGGAAATAGATTCAGCCACTCCCCCGTCTGTAAAATGGGGATGATCTGTAATTATTATGAAAACGATCGGCTGCATTACCGGCACACTTGAGAAGCCAAGATCAAGAGGCCCCGGCCTTGGGGTGGGGATGCAGAGTCCGAAGACCCGTAGGATGGAGAAAGATGAGGAAAACAGGCCCCTGGCCCCCTAACCACGCGGAAGGCGGCCATCCTCAAGCTGCCACAGTCAGGCCAGGATGACCGTTCAGCTCCTTCCTCCTCCCGCTTCTTAGGCTGAAAGTATTGAAGGGGTTGTTTGAGAAAATGCATGATTGTGACAGTCTCATCCTGCCTGGGAGCCTATGCATTGATTGCCATTCTACCCTTTTCCTCAGGTAGCTGGCCACGCTAACTCCAATCATCCGTTCGATTCTCCACAAGCTCCCTGGGGCTGGCGGGGGAGGCATGGCGGTCATGTGCATTCCCAGACTCCACTACCGTCATAGACCCTGCTGGGAACCTGATGCCTACACAGCCTTGTGCGTGCCATGGGCCACCCGTCTGCCTGCATGAGTGCCAGCAGGGCATACGGTCCATTCGTGGTGACCAGCCAGATCAATTTGCAGGTGCACCTCGCAGTTATACTAAAGGGACCTGACCCAGTCAAGGAGGTCAGGGGTCAGCGATCATTGAGTTGAGTTCCGTGGAAAAGAAAAGGAACAGAGGGGTGGGTGAGAGCGGTCCAGGTGGAGGGAACAGCAGCTGATGAGGCTGTCTCAGGATCTGCAGACATGGCGTCAGAGTCAGGCAGAGAGTGATAAGATCTGGTTTGTGTTTCAAAAGGATCTGTAGGTTATTATCACAAAGCCAGCTTTGGAGGGTTTGTAAATAGTGTATATTGGGGGTTTTTTTGTTTTTTATTTTAGCTGGAGTCTCACTGTCACACAGGCTGGAGGGCAGTGGCATGCTCCCGGCCCCCGCAGCCTCGACCTGCTGGGCTTAGATGATCCTTCCGCCTCAGCCTTCCAAGTAGCCAGAACTACAGGCGCTAATTTTTGATTTATTGTAGAGACGAGGTCTCACTATGTTGCCCAGGTGGGTCTCGAACTCAGGCAATCCTCTTGCCTTGGCCTCCCAAAGGGCTGGGATTACAGGCTGAGTCATCGAGCCCGGCCTGTATATTGTTTTTTACAGCAAAGGTGGGGAAAACCTCTCTGCTCCAGAGAAGTAGTGATTTTAAAGTGTATTCTACAAATGTTTCACCGTCAAGGACTCTACGGGGCAGGGAGAGGATGACAGTGTCTTTAGAATCCATGACCTCCAGGCAAGCCTCCCTTTAAACAGTAAAAGTGTCACTTAAAAGTTGGCCACAAGTCAGGATCTTGTAAATTGAACCCCGTGTCAAGTGCACAGTAGAAACATTATTATGTGGTAAGAGTTTGATGGAGAATTGTTTTTGGTCAAAGTCATTCACCCCAAATCAGGTGACTTGGGAGTTTTATAACTACAATATAAAGACCCTGAGAACTTCCAGGGACCTCAGAAGTCTTGGATCCGATCGGTGCATATTATAGATGGAGAAACAGAAGTACTAAGAGGTCACAGAGATGGCAGGTGGCCCAGCCACCACCTGGCATGGGGTGACACGATGGCAGGTACTACGTTAAGGTCATCCATGTGGTCGAACAGGGTAAGTCACTCCCTTACGTTTCGCTGTCAAATGTGTCAAGTCTTCAGGATCGCTGGACCAGCCCGTGGCCTTGTGCCGTGTAGACACAGTGAAGAACAAAAGGGGAGTCGTCTTGCACTTCTGACTTGGTGAAGCCGGGAGGGCAAGCGAATGAGGAAGAAATCACATCCATACCATTCCCTTCGCGGCTATATTCATGTGCCAGTTCAGTTTGTCAGTTCAAGTGGAAAAAGTGCCACTAGGGAGAGGAGGGAGAACTCCAAGGACAAACGACAATGGGCATTCTGAAAAGACAGTAACTTTTTCTTTTTCTATGGCATTTAAAGCCCCGACTTGAATTCTTTATTCATTAAAACAGCCACTAGGATCAGGCCAAATTTTAACCACCTACTGCAGGATGTGGACAGCCCTTTTGAGAGGAGAAACCACTTCCTGGCCCCAGGATTGGATCTGAGGAGGGGGCTGGGGAGATGAGGGCAGCTCACCCCACTGAAGTCTTGAGAGGCTGGAGGAGGAGGATCTCTTGCTGAGATGCTTCCCAGCCTCCTCCTCCAGGAAGGCCCCGGGAGCAAAGATGGTAGAAAGCAGGAGGGTGGAAGCTTAGGGGTTTCCACCAACTTGGAGGCCTTTAGATGAGGTGTGGCAGCCCACCTGACGGTCACAGTAGGGCCCTCGGGAGGGGGCCCAGGGATGCTGGGAGGCCCAACAGAGGCAGGCTCAATGCCTAACCCCAGGGAACCTGCATTTGACCTACTGTGTGACTGTGGGCCAGTTTAAACTTCCTAAGCTGTAGTTCTCTCTTCTGCAAGACGAGGCTAATAACAGTACCTATCACACAGAGTTGTTGGAAGAATGAAATAAGATAACGTATATAAAAGTGCTTCTTGCTGGGCATGGTGGCTCACGCCCATAAGCCCAGGACTTTGGGAGGCCAAGGTGAAAGGATCGCCTGAGCCCACGGGTTCGAGACCAGCCTGGGCAACTTAGCGAGACCTCATCACTACAAGAAAAAAAAAAAAAAAAGCCAGGCATGGTGGCACGTGCCTGTAGTTCCAGATACTTGTAAGGCTGAGGCAGAAGAATTGCCTGAGCCCAGCAGGTGGAGACTGCAGTGGCTGGGAGCGTGCCACTGCCCTACAGCCTCCAGCCTGGGTGTCAGAGTGAGAATCCAGCCAAAAAAAAAAAAAAAAATGCTTCTTATGCGATGTGATTACATGGGAAAGATTTCTCATCGTCACCGCCACTGTCATCCTCATTGTGGTTGCAGCAGGACCTGAATTCTGAACATGTGACTCCTGGTACCTTGGAAGCAAGACTCTCAAATAAAAATGAGGTTAGCTGAAGTCTCTATTCACTCCGGGAGGTGGGCACTTCTGGGCAGGATGACAGACGGTGGTCTTGTCAACAGTCTAGCGGTGGAAGGAGACAAGGTGCTTCCTTGGAAAGAAAGAACTCACCAGTTTGGGCAAGAATAGGAGCATCCACGCTTGGCCAAGGACAAGGTCTGTGCTGGAGACAAAGAAGGTGGTTGTGAACGTAGGAAGGAGATTTTTTTCAGCCCTCTGCCCTTGGCTGTGTGCATGTCGGGATCCCTGTGACAAGGGGGGAGTGCTCACTAGTCTGGCGGGCACCATTCCATTGTACGTGGTTTCTATGTGAAAACATGCATAGTTGTGGCCTCTGGACCTGCTGTAGACACCAGACAAGCAACGGCCCCATCCAGGCCCGAGGGTCAGACCAGAGTCTCCAAATTTTTCACCAGGAGCCGCTCAGCCTTGGTGACCCCGAAGCAGTGACAGCCCTGCAGACATCGAAGAAACTGGTAAAGGATCCCAGCAGGAGCCTGAGCAGAAGAGCAGGACAGAGGGAAGAGGTGTGATGTTTGGGAGTGCAGGTGCACCCACAGAAACACTGGAAGGGGGTCCTCGGGTGGGGGTGGCTGGTGGTTCTGGAAGAGACAACGGAAAGCAGAATGAGAGAGGAACAGCATGTGCCGTGGTTCTGATCCCAGTTTTCTCCTCAGGCTGGTGTGGCCTAGGAAACACACATTGTGCAAATAAACAAATCATTATTAGGAGCTGTAAAAGATCAAGCTTGGCCCTGCCTCCTCTTCCAAGCACTCAGACGTGCACACTGGTGTCGTTTTAACCGCTTTCTCAACAGAGCAGGGTTTTGGAAGCTGCAAGTCCGAAGCAATAGTGGGTCAGGAACTCAGTCCAGTGGGTCCAAGCAGAATGTTTAAAATGAATCATTTTGAATACAAAATCGGAGCACAGAAGGGTAACTATTGCCTTGTGAAGCAATCGTATGTTTCTATTCCTTGCGTGTATGTGTGCATTTGTGTACACGGTTGATATAAATTGTATTTCTTACAATTGGTTTACAACCAAAAAAATAAAATAAAGAAAACTCTGCATTAGAGCTTGTTAAAGATCCTCCCCCACCCCGGGAAGTCTGTGAAATGGCAAGATAAAAGGACCCCGATTCCAATCCATTTCACTTACTGATTGAGGTTAGCCTGATGGAATACTGTTTTTGTTATTGACTAGCTGTGTGAACTTGGACAAGTGACTTGGCTTCTCTGTGCCCCGTTTTCCACATTAATACAATGGAAGTAATACTACCGTTATTGCATTACTGATATGTTAGGACTAGAGGTGATGCCTGTGGCAGAGAAGGCAGTCAACTCTCGATCGTTCTACTGA